ACAAAGAAAGAGATCAAAAAGGTTTTTGAATGAGTGAAAAAAAGTCTAATGTTCTTAGTAGAATTTTCTTTCTATGGCTGGTTATATGATCAAGTGAGCAAAGGGCTTTTCAGTTTTTCATAGAAGGGAAAAAAATGTTTTTATCAAAGGCCTCAAATAAAGACCAGAAAATGTCACATTGATCAGAGTATTTCTAACATGAAAACCCTTTAATATTTCAGGCCCTTAAACAGGTTCTTATGTCACCCAGAGCAAAGTTTAAAAAACAAGTGAGCTGTTTGAAAATAGACAACACATTTGGGACATAAACAGTTGGGGATCAAACCTGCAACCTGGGTATATGCCCTGCCCTGACCAGGAACCACACCCAAGACCCTCAGTGCACAGGAAGACTCTCCAACCGAGCCACACTGGCCACGGCATCATTACAGTGTTTGAACACCTTTGTAAGCTGCCAGAAATCCTGTCAATGCCACAAAGGAAAGCCAGCAGGACCACCAGAGTTCTCGTGCTCAAACTATAATTGTTGAACCCCCCTGCTTTCCTCTTCTGCTTCTCCATCATGACTATCAATTTGTCTTGTCCATCTCCATTTTACAGCTATTTTGGAAGGTGCTTAATGCACCAGTTGAAAGAAACTTTTAAAGCCAATTATTTTCCCAGTTGTTTAGTGCACGCAGACCCAAAGAAAGCCCTGAGAATGAAAATTTACCTCCCTAAGTGGAGGGCCGGGAAAGACCAAAGAAAGAAGCTGGCCTGCCGAGACCAGTTTGGATAGAGTGTCGACCTGCGGACCAAAAGGTCCCAGGTTCGATTCCAGTCAAGGGCATGTACATTGGTTGTGGGCACATCCCCAGGGGGGGGGGGGGGGGGGTGTGCAGGAGGCAGCTGGTCAATGTATCTCTCTCATCGATGTTTCTAGCTCTCTATCCCTCTCCCTTCCTTTCTGTGAAAAATCAATAAAATATATTTTTTTAAAAGAAAGAAGCTGGCCATTCCAGTCAAGTAATTAATAGAATTTATAGAAGGAATTTAGAAGACATGTCTTAGGTAGCTGCAAGACAAAATGGGTCCCCATGCCAAGTGGGCAATAATCACAGGTACTAGTATGTGAGTGCTAGAAATTATATGCTTAACCAAGTCAGGAGAACAGCCTGTTCCAGGAACCAGCATATCGCAGGAAGCAAGAGAGGTGTTGATTTATGTCAGAATGAATATCAATTCAGACAGTCTAGAAGTTGGGTTTACAGAAAGCAACCTCTGTTCTGGCCCAGCGCTAGCACACAGGACAGGCAGTGGTCACCACCACACCAACCCAACCTTGAACAACCTCACCCACCCACTGAAACAAAGAGCCCTCTGTAACCATGTGCCAGTCCAGTCACCGATATAGAAGCATTTTGTTTGACTGAACCCCATCTACACAGAGCTTTGCCTGAGCTGGACCTTTGGAAATATGAGCTGCAGAAGAAAAAAATAAATCACCTAGGAATGAATGGGCACATTTAGGTCTTATTCAAACATCTGAGGAAATGGAAAGGATTTTCTCTCTGATCAACAGTTTTGAACAGAATTGAAAAAATAAAACGTGATGGTGTGTCACTTATTGTCTGTTTATGCTACTTGATTTCCCAGATTAGTCCTGTGAAATCTAATGGTTCTCAGCCTCCTCCTTGCCGTGCATCAGGGCTTCTAGCTGTCATTTCTGAAGAAATGAAGAACCATAATTGAAATAGGTGTATAAGATGATCAACTTTCACATTTGTGATTTTTGTTATTCCTTAGCAGACTCCCAATGGAAATAGTAATAAGATTGTTAAAATTATACAGGCCTGCGTGGCTCAGGAGTTGAACATTGACCTATGTACCAGGAGGTCATGGTTGGATTTCCAGGCAGGGCACATGCCTGGGTTTGGGCTCCATCCCTGGTGGAGAGCATACAGGAGGCAGCCAATCAGTGATTCTCATCATTGATGTTTCTCTCTCCCTCTTCCTCTGAAATCAATAAAAATATAGGGGGGGGAAGGCAACCAGCAAGTGCATAAATAGAATAACAAACTGATGTTTCTATCTAACCTTTGCTCTCTCTAAAAATCAAAAATTTTAGAAAAAGAATACTATAGAAAACTTTCGTATAGTGGCATTTGCCCTTTTCTGAAGCATCAAAAAGGGTACCAGATGTTAAATAGGCCTTGAGCACATGAAAACATGCTCAAAGTCACTAATTATCCGAGAGATGCAAATCAAAACAACAATGCGGTACCATCTCACACCTGTCAGAATGGCCAACATCAACAAATCAACAGACAAGTGTTGGCGAGGTTGCGGAGAAAAAGGAACCCTCGTGCACTGCTGGTGGGAATGCAGACTGGTGCAACTACTGTGAAGAACAGTGTGGAGTTTCCTCAAAAAACTGAAAATGGAACTCCCATTTGACCCAGTAATCCCACTTCTAGGAATATATCCCAAGAAACTAGAAACACCAATCAGAAAGGATATATGCACCCCTATGTTCATAGCAGCACAATCTACAATAGCCAGAATTTGGAAACAGCCTAGGTGCCCGTCAGCAGATGATTGGATCAAAAAACTTTGGTACATCTACACAATGGAATACTATGCTGCCATAAAAAAGAAGGAATTCTCATCATTTGCAGCAACCTGGATGGAATTGGAGAACATCATGCTGAGTGAAATAAGCCAATCAATGAAAGAGAAACACCACATGACCTCACTCATTTGTGGATAATAAAGAGCATTATAAACTGATAAATCAAAAGATAGATATAGAGACAGTATATCAACAAGTAGACTGTCAAATTACAGCGGGGAGGGGAGGAAGATCTGGGGGAGAGAATAGATCAACCGAAGGACTTTTATACATGCATATAAGTACAACTAATGGACACAAAACTCTGGGGAGGGAGGGGATCTGTGGGCGGGAGGGAGGGGGGCAAAAAAAAATCAATAAAATATATTAAAAAATAATAATAATAAAATAAAATAAAAGTCCAGATTAGTGAAGAAAAAAAATAAATTAAAAAAATAAATAAATAGGCCTTGACTATGGAGGACTAGTCATTTAAAAAACTGTGATTATAGGAGATCAAAGTTTCCTATCCCAAATTACCTCCACTCCTTGGCTATCACAGGCCTAAAGTCCACTTGTGTGTGTTGTGTGTGTGTGTGTATATTGCAGAATACCTCCCTCTTCCCTAGATCTACATTAAGTCTACATTAAGGTCTACACTATGATATATTAACTTTATTTATAGGATTACTTTTCATTTCCATACCATGTATCAAAAGGTCACTGAGGAAATGTAAATTTTGAAGGGAAGATAATTCTGAAATCAGAAGGCAGACCTGGACAAATTACCTTGATTGATGACACTGGACAAGAATATGACAATATAAGGGCCTGTGTAACTGAGTATGGAAATGCAGAGAGGTGGTAAGATATGGGAGAAGGAATCAGATATGAGTTAGCCAGGGGTAACTCATATCTGATTACTCCAAGGTTCCAATATTCCAAGGTTGTCAGGTTCAATCCCGTAAGGGCACATACCAGAATCAACCAATGAATGCATAAGTGGAATAAATTTCTCTCTAAAATATATATTTTTTTAATTTTTAAAGAGATACGTTGGCCATAAAAGCAAACTCTATTCACTGTGACAGTTAATTTTTTTATGTCAATTTGGCTCAGCCACAGTGCTCAGATATTAGTCACACACTCTGGGTGTGTCCGTGAGGGTACTTTTGGATGAGATTAACATTTACATTGCTGGACTTTGAGTAAAGCACCTGGCCCTCCATAATGTGGGTGGGCCTAATACGATTAGTCAAAGGCCTGACTAGAACAACAGACTCACCTCTCCAGAGCAGGAAAGAATTCACCAGTCTGCAACATCAGCTCTTCCATCTGCAGCCTGATATCCCACCCTGCAGATTTTAGACTTGCTAGCCTCCATGATTGCATGAGTCAACTGCTAGTTCGCAAAGCAATTCCCAGAGTGTAAGCTGAATTTATCTATAATAGCTCAGGAAATACATTGTCCAAACTCACTATCTGGTTCTGTGAATCAAAGGACAAAAATAAAAACTTCAATCTTGCCATTCACAACTGCTGGAGTTCTTCCTACTTCCATCCCTATCTTAATCTCTCTACTTTTGGAGACCAGAATTCTAGAGATGCAATATACCTATCTTTCTTTCCCTGATATTGTTTGTGAAATGTTGTCTCTAAATTACTACAGAAAAGGGAGAGAGGATAATTTGCTATGTAGACTATCTAAAAAAGCAGTACTCCTATAGTAGAGAGATAACTGTCCAAATTGGCACTGACTATAACTCTCTGAGTCAGAAGCCAGTAAAAGGATCCAATCAGCTTCTCATTTTATTTCAGAGATTCTGTTTCATAAGGTAAAACCTGAGCATGCTAAGGCAGTTTTGCTCAATTCAGCCTGCACTGTCTTATAATTAACTGAGTTTTGTCTACATTTAGAATGTTTTTATTTTAATCAGTATTCAGCATTATGATTTGCATGTGCATGTGTGTGTGTTTGTTCTTTGTCTCAAACCCACAATGAACATGTACCCTGACCAGGAATCAAACTGGCCACCTTTCAATGCATGGGACAATGCTCAAAGAACTGAACCATACCAGCCAGCGAGGACAGCCTGATATAATTTTTATACTAGAATTGTTTAGTTTTTTTCCAACAAGATAAAAAGTTCTTTAAAAATAGTTTCAAACATCTCACAAAAGCTAAGCCATTTAGAATATTTTTAAAGTATTCTCCCTATTCACATCTGTATTTTAAAAATAAATAAATTAGATGAGGTAAAATTTATTTTAAACTGCTTCAAACATTATGCAAAGAATTAACCATGAAAAAATGACTAACAAAAATAAAAATATCCCTGAATAAAATCCATGTGTACAAAATGATTCATAATGCTATAAATAACTCATATGAGGTAAAGCCAACACACTATTTATATATCATTCTCTGAAGAAAGAGCATATTTTATTAATCTGCAATTCCTTAGCAGTTAATAATAAAAGCAAGGTATATAATATCAATAAGCCTGATTGCTGGGTCCAAAGAAAACTCAAAATATTTTAAGGTGAATTTGTTTCTTTTTCATTTGGTTCCTCTTCCATAACCTAGAACCAAAAAAAGACAAAAAAACAAGAGAATTTAAGAATTAAGAAAATAATCAGAAATTGCTATTTTGTTTTTAACATTATTTTCTTACCTAATATATTACTATATAATAATGCAAGTCAATAAAAAGAAATCTATCAATAGCTCCAAAGCAGAAGGTTTGCATCATAACCTGGTATCCTAACAACATAAAAGCAAACTGAATATTAGTAAATTAATTAAAAGCACTGGTCTCTTTTCCTTGTCCCAAAAGAGGCAATAACAGAGTCTCAGCTGGTCAGAGAAGACTATAAAGATTAATTGGCATTTCCTAGTCAGAAGACTAATGTAATTGATTATTCACTCCTACCCCTCATAAGCATCTTATTTATTTAAATATATTCTGGGGATCTATACCAAACTGTAAAAATATACATTTAGAAAAATGATTCCTGAGCCCTAGCCCGGTAGCTTGATTGGTTAATATTGCCCAGATATGTCAAGGTTTCTAGTTCTATCCTCCATCAGGGCACATGCAAAAATCAACTAATGAATGCATAAATAAGTGGAAGCCTTCACTGGTTTGGCTCAGTGGTAAAGCGTCGTTCTGCGGACTGAAAGGTCCCAGGTTCGATTCTGGTCAAGGGCATGTACATTAGTTGTGGGCACATCCTCGGAAGGGGGTGTGCAGGGGGCGGCTGGTCGATGTTTCTCTCTCATCGACGTTTCTGGCTCTCTATCTCTCTCCCTTCCTCTCTGTAAAAAATCAATAAAATATATTTTAAAAAATCAAAATAAAAAAAATAAGTGGAAAAACAAAGATGTTTCTCTCTATCTTTTCCTTCCTCTCCCTCTCTAAAAATCAATCAATACAAAAATTTTTTAAAGAAAAATGAATCCCCCCCAAAAAATAACAAAATATATTGCCAACTATTTTTTTAAATATGTTTTATTGATTTTTTTTTTTTACAAAAAGGAAGGGAGAGGAATAGAGAGTTAGAAACATCAATGAGAAACATCAATCAGCTGCCTCCTGCACACTCCCTACTGAGGATGTGCCCGCAACCAAGGTACATGCCCTTGACCGGAATCGAACCTGGGACCCTTGAGTCCTCAGGCCGACGCTCTATCCACTGAGCCAAATTGGTTAGGGCTATATTAGCAACTATTTTATCTTACTCAGATAAAAGTTCATTTTAAACTTTAGAAAAATGTTAAGACTTTCATTTCTAATTAAGTTAATAAAAATAATGAATACTTGAACAAAAAAATAAAATGATTATTGTCTTTTCATGAGTTGATATATTACTCAAACAATAAAGAACAACTCCTTTGGTAAGGAAGAGAGTTACATAAACCAAAGAATTTTTTTTTTCTCTTTACCACACCTACTACAATTAAATGGCAACAAAAGTTTATAATCTGACAGCCAATTCATCACTCCACCCTGGACAAGTAAACAAAAATGTTCCTTTGTTAATCCACTGTCAACTCACATAATTAAAAAAAAAAGATATGGGGGGAAAAAAGGCATAGGCAGAAAATGGAACAAAATGTATTGTTGTTTTTTTTAATTTAGACAAATCTGGATCTGATCTGAGACGATAAATCTCTAATAGTTTCTCTTTTGTGTTAAGTAAAAATGGATATTTACTTCCAATGAATTATATTTTATATCCAATCTCAGCAACACCCAATCCAAAGAATTTTGTCAATCAATTCCTATTTTAGGCAGAATATTCCTAATTTTGGAATACCATTTCCAAATATTTAATACAAACCAAGTAAGAACATGAATAACACACAAGGCTAAGTGTTTCTATCTATCTCCCTTCCTTTCTGAAATCAATAAAAAATATATATTAAAAAAAAGTGGAAAAACAAAGATGTTTCTCTCAATCTTTTCCTTCTTCCCCCTCTCTAAAAATCAATCAATACAAAAATCATTTAATTTGCCGAGGAACACAAAGACCGAGATATGACTGCAGGTCCCTCAAGAAACTTACCCACAGACATAAAGTGAAACAGACACAGAAAGCAGCTTTGGATCAAAGCAGAGCTTAATTTTAAGCTGGGGACTTAACACAGGAGATGGCATGAGTTGTACCAAAAGGACAATTTTTTTCTTAGCTTCAATATTTTCTGTTTTTCCCCTTTTTATTGAATTTATTGGGGAGACACTGGTTAACAAAATTATGTTTCAGATGCACAATTCCACAACACATGATCTTGTACAATGTACTGTGTGTTCATCCTCCCCAAGTCAAGTCTCCTTCCATCATCACTTATCCCGCTATCCCCTCCTCTCCTTCCCCCAACCTGAGCTCCCCGATGACCGGCAAGCCCCACAAAAGGACATATTTTAATACTACCCAGAGATGAGTGATTCCCAAAGGCACTAAAAGGAGATGTCTTCTCCTGAAAGGCACTGAATTACCTGAAGTTTTTTTTTTCTTTCAAATTTCTAACTTCCACATACTCTTTCCCTTCTTGATAATCTCTCTCCATAAGGCCATGTCTCCTGGTTGAGAATCACGGTAGTGAGAGTTACTATTACTGTTTAGAAAATGCTGTGCTATATTTCTTAAGAATCTTGGGGCAGAAAAGTGCTGACAACAGGCTATACATAAAACTCTATAATTCTACTCAATAAATACTGTTTTACGGTAAAATAAAGTTTGATCTCTTGATTAGTTTCTTGTTTGTGCATGTAAGAACAAGAGTGGATAAATGTAAGAACAAGTAATGGATAAATATACAGGAGCTGTTCCTCTAAATCTCATCTATTGATACAAAACACTATGATGTTTTGAATTCACTTCTAATTTTTTCATAACCAGAGCAGCAGTATGCCCTGAGTCTCAATTTCCTATGAACAAAATAGAAATGGCTCAATTAATACACTGTACTATTAGAAGATTAAATGAAGTAATATTTGTAAAAGTGCCTGGCACACAGTAGGTATTCATAATACTAAAGTTAATTCTTTTAAATTAAAGAGTCATCAAGTCTGATAACAATTGTAAAATCCCTTGAAGAAAATGTCAGGTCATGAATTTCTTTTCTTCTCACATGTTTATTTTAAATCTATTTGATATTTTAATATTAAAACCATCACATAATATTGGCATACCTGTTCTACGCCTTCTACTTCTGGAATATAAAACTGCAGCATGTTCTGAATTCCATTTTTCAGAGTAATGATTGAACTAGGGCAGCTGGTACAAGAACCTTGGAGTTTCAGCTGTACGATACCATCTTCAAAGCCCTTGTATATTACATCGCCTCCATCTTCCTGCACAGTTGGCCTGTGGTCACAGTATATTTGTGACATTTAAGAGAATAAAAATTTTCATCAAAAAAATGTAATATAACTAAGAGCTTAGATTTTGTATTCTTACCTGGTTTGTATTAAATATTTGGAAATGGTATTCCAAAATTAGGAATATTCTGCCTAATTTTATATTAGTAAATTCACAAAGAGTTACTTTTACAATAGAGAATAAATGAGGCTAGTCTCATTTATAATTTTTAATATAAATATATACTCTACTTTTTATATTTAGTCTTGCTTAGTAATAATTATTTTCAGCATTTAAAATTTCAAATTTCCTAATAATTATAGTAATTACCTAAGATATATTCAATTTCTTTTGGGTGAATACAGAGAATTTGCCACATGCTAGCTTTCTTTTTCAGGTAAACTTTTCATTGAAATATAACATTAATACAGAGAAATGTAGAAATCATGTACAATCAACTCAATTAATTTTCACAAAGTGAATATACATTTGTCCCAGAACAAAAAGCAGAACATTAGCACCTCAGAAGCCCTCTTATTCTTTTAACCACTCTTCCCAACCAAAGGTAACCATTTCCTAATTGTTACCACCATTGATGGGTTTTGCCTGCTTTTTAACTTAAAAATTTATAAATGTAAATTTCATTTAGAAAACATATTTACTCTTTTGTATCTGGCTTCTTTTGCTCTTTGTGAGATTCATTCACATTGTTGCATGTAATTAATAGTTAGTTCCATCTCACTGTAGCATAGTATTCCATTAGGTGAATATGCCAGAATTTGTCCTTTCCATTGTTGATGGACATCTGGGTTAATACAAGTTTTTGGCTTTTACAAATGGTGCAGCTATAAAGATTCCTGAAAATGTCTTCTGGTATACATATGTTATTACTAGGAATATACGTAGAGTGGAATTGCTGGATCAAAAATATGCATAGGCCTGGGCAGGTGGCTTAGTTGGTTGGAGCACCAAAAGATTGTAGGTTTGATTCCCAGTCATGGCATGTACTGGTATCTAGGTTGTAGATTCAATCCCCAGTCAGGACTTGAACAGGAGGCAACTGATCGATGTTTCTCTCTCACATGGATGTCTCCCTTCTCTCTTCTCTCTCTCAAATAAACACATCCTCGGGTGAGGATTTAAAAACTAAAGGGTATGCATATGTCCAAATTTAGCAGATACGTAATGCTAAATAGTTTTCCAGTTACATAAACTTATATTCCCACCGGGGGTAGAAGAGACTTCATGTTGCTCTATATCCTCAATAGCAATTAGTGTTGTCAATCTTAATTACTTTAACCATTCTAATGGATGTGCAGAGATAGTTCACTGTGGTTTTAATTTTAATATTCAGTGACTAATGAGGTTGAGGACTTTCTCGTGTCTAGTAGCCATTTGGCTACTGTAGTTTTTCAGTAACTGCTCCAGTGCTTTTGTGAAGAAACTGCTTCAGTCTCTGAATATTTGTTTTCTTAACAAATTGTAAGAGTTTTACAAAACATAGTCTGTCATATATGTATTATAAATAACTTCTACTCTTTGCTTTGCTTTTCACTGTAAATGGCATCTTTTGATAAGAGAATCATAATTCTACTGTAGTCTAATGTTTTTTCTGTGATTTTTCTTGTGTTCTGTCAAAAAAAACTTTTTTTTTTTTAAATAAGCCAGGGAAGGTCCCCCCCCCCTTTTTTTTTAAATATATTTTATTGATTTTTTTACGGAGAGGAAGGGAGATAGTTAGAAACATCGATGAGAGAGAAACATTGATCAGCTGCCTCCTGCACACCCCCCACTGAGGACATGCCCTCAACCAAGGTACATGCCCTTGACCGGAATAGAACCTGGGACCTTTTAGTCCACAGGCTGAGATTCTATCCACTGAGTCAAACCGGTTTCGGTCAAAAAATAAACTATTTTTGAAAAAATTCAAAAAGTGATGCAGATATTCTATTTTAAATCTCCTTTGTGATTTCTTTCTTGACCATGGTCTACCTCTGGTCTGTCCCCATTTCAAGGGTATAATCCTATAGGAAACCCAACTAAGAGTCTGGATGTTTCTTGAGGCCCCAACACTTCTTGACTGGTCCTAAACTCCAATTTTTGTTACTCCTAGAACCGTACAACTGACAAAACTCTGTTTAGCATTCCAAATGCTTTTTGTTTGACCCAGGTTCTCTTACACAACTAAGAATAAGCAAGTCTATGTGGGGGGAACTCTGAGTGTTAGGCTTTTTCTTAACTTCTATCTAGGATCTTGGCCCTTTAAGTTAAAGCTTTATTGATGACCCAGAATTTTAATTTTTGTCTTCCCACTTCAACAAATTTGCCAAAAACTAAATGGGTTTTCTGATTCTTAGCAGCTATCCCAAGCCAGCTTCTCATACTCAAGCCTGACACCAAGAATCAGCAAAAGCCCAGAGGGAAGCCTCACTGTGCTTTCTTCCCTACCAGATATTGTTTGCTTTGTTAGCTATTTAATGCCTTCACACACAAAGTTATTTTTAATTGTATTTTACCTAGCTTTTCTGGAACTTAAGACCAGGACCACTGGTCTGCTACAAGCAAAAAATCAGAGCAGGAGGTTCTCTACTTATTTAATTTTATACTTTATGGATAATAGCCTAAAATACAAGTAATCCTCTCCTCACAATCTTCCCAAACACTGTTAACTAATTTTTTTTCTAAGAAATTTGGTATTATAACAATATCAAATCTAAACAGTAACTGTGAAAGATAAAGTCCTTTACTGATTGTGTTTAGTTTTAAAATTTGGATGAATATAGACAATATACAGGCTTTAAATTCAACTGTCATGGTAACCTTCTGTAGTTTACATCAGCGTTTTTCAACCGCTGTTCCGCGGCACACTAGTGTGCCGCAAGATGTTGCCTGGTGTACTGTAGGTACAGACAAGACAAGAATTTTATAATTTTTCACTATTTTGTTTACTTAATATTTCTAATTATAAAATACTTTCTTTGTGTTTATTTGATTCCTATTCAAGAGAATTTCTTTATATATAGTCAATATAGGCACAGAGTTAAATTTTTTAACATTTTCTAATGGTGGTGTGCCTCGTGGTTTTTTTCATGAAACAAGTGTGCCTTTGCCCAAAAAAGGTTGAAAAACACTGGTTTACATTAACTTATACTTCTTTTAAAACTCTACTATAATCTCACAGACAACCAAACATAAATTGCTATAATAAAAATTGGCTCTGCAGTATATATGATCTCAAGCAGAAAGATAAGCACATACCGTATTCTTGTATCTAACAGTTCTTTAATCATTGCCACAACTTCATCATCTTCTTCAGATACTAGAAACAATTACAAATAAAACATATCAACGGTAGACATTTTATATCAGGCATATACAAGTACTATTAAGATAGGATAATTTAAAACTAGTTAATTTTAATATCTCATCTATATAATAAAAGCCTAAGCGACTGTTATGGTAGAACGACAAGTTGCTATGATATGCTCTGACCACCAGGAGGACACTTAATGAAGGAGGAAGACACTTCCTGATGGTCAGTGCGTCCCCACAGGGCTGAGAGCTGCTCAGCCAGAAGCTGCGCTCACAGCTGGCGAGCACAGCAGCAGTGGCAGAAGCCTCTCCTACCTCCGCAACAACATTAAGGAGCAGCGAGCCAAGCAGTAAGAAGCAAGGGGTCCCGGACTGCGAGAGGAATGTCTGATTGCTGGCTTAGACCCCTGGGGAGTGGGCCTAAGCCAGCAGTTGGACATCCCCCAAGGGCTCCCAAACTGCGAGAGGGCACAGGCTGGCTGAGGGCAGCCCCCTTCCCACTGTACAAATTTCATGCACTGGGCCTCTAGTTTAAAAAATTAAAGCACAGGAAATGCAACTTGGTATGGTGATAAAGTGATTTGAGGGAAATGAAAAGATCATTCCTTCAATTCTCAGAAGAAAAATTAAGGAGCATTGATCAATTCAATATATGGCAATAAAGCTGAGTATGCCAAAAAAACTTAACCTACTAATGATAGTAGGATTTCAATTTTAGGGTCAATATATTTGTAAACTTTCCTCATTCTCAAGGATTAAAAAGTGAAAGAAAAAAAGAGGTTGTTTGGATACTGATGGAAACTTTGAAACAAAAAGGGGGGGGCCTACCTACTTCATCAGTTAAGTTACATTTTCAATTTATTAATTTTGTGGTTTTCAAAATGAGGATCATACTAAATATAGATGTAAGCCTATGTTAATTTCTAAAATGTTCTTCAATTCTAAGCAAAAAGTTGCTTTTAAATTTTGTTTCATTTTTATTTTTATTTTACTTTATAAGGTTATATAATGATTTTCACCAATGCCTTTTTATTGGTTTTAAATATAATTTTTTAATATATTTTATTGATTTTTTTTCAGAGAGGAAGGGAGAGGGATAGAGAGCTATAAACATCAATGAGAAACATCAACCAGCTGCCTCCTGCACATCCCCACTGGGGATGTGCCTGCAACCAAGATACATGCCCTTGACCGGAATTGAACCCGGGACTCTTCAGTCCACAGGCCAATGTTCTATCCTCTGAGCCAAACCAGTTTGGGCTGGTTTTAAATATTTTTGAGAAATTTATTTACCAGCAGGATAACTAAACTTTTTTTCAAAATGGATATATTTTAAAATGTTATACTCAGTGAAAAAGAGAAAAGTTACATATAACACAAGTTATTTAAAGTTTAAAATAAAAAACCAATGTTATATATTCCCTGCAGACACTTGTATTTGTAATAAATGTCTTAAAACAAACCAAGTTTAGCCCTACCTGGGTTGGCTCAGTGGACAGAGCATCAGCCTACAGACTGAAAGGTCCCAGGTTTGATTCTGGTCAAGAGCAAATGCTGGGTTGGGGGCTTGATTCCCAGTAGGGGATGTGCAGGAGGCAGCCAACTGATGAGTCTCATCATTGATTCCTCTCTCACTCCCTTCCTCTCTTAAATCAATAAAAATATTTTTAGGGGAAAAAGTTTAAGACAGAGTTTACATACATCTCTGGAAGCAGAAAGGGAAAAGGGATGGGGGTTGTAGGGCTTTGGCTATGTCTTTAATATTTTATTAAATACTATAGGCCCGGTGCACAAATTTGTGCATTGGTCGGGTCCCTGGGTGTGGCCTGCAGGATTGGGCCGAAACAGGTTCTCTGATATCCCCCAAAAGGTCACGGATTGCAAGACGGCACAGGCCAGGCTGAGGGATCCCACAGGTGCATAATCAGGACCAGGGAGGGACACAAGATATTGGCTAGCCGGGGAGGGACTGACGAAGGGCTCCATGGCACATCCAACCTGTCTCACTCAGTCCACATTGGCTAGACCCAGCAGCAAGCTAATCTACCAGTTAAAGTTTCTGCCCCCTGGTGGTCAGTGCACATCACAGCAAGCAGTTGAGCAGCCTTAGCATATCATTAGCATATTACACTTTGGTTGAAGGGACAACCAGATGACTGGACACTTAGCATATTAGGCTTTTATTATATAGGATGGGTTAAAAGCAATTATAGCAAAAAATTAACATTTGTTAAATCTGAGAGGATGGCAAATTGGCAAGCTTTATACTATTTTCTGTATGTTTGAAAATTTTTACAATTAAAAAATTTACTTTTGTGTAACAGATTCAATTTATTTAAAGATTTTCAAAAATGATGGGCAAAACTAGTATATATGAAGTTTTATTTCCTTAGAATTGATTCCAGAGATAAATATAGTACAATGATAAAAATCTGTACTTCCATTATTTCTGAAATCAAGGCAAATGAGAAGAATGTAGAAAAGTTTGTTTTTTGTTTTTTTTAAAAGGTTAATATTATTATCCAACATATCACCTGCTTCTCCTGAAGATGTTTCCTCAGTGACTAAGGGTAAGCCAGATGCAAAGAAATCCATGATTGTTGCATAAATATCTGGTTTCAGTAAATTCCAGTCTAACTCTTCACTTTCCTGTAAATATTTGAAGAAAAATGGTATAATTTCTACCCAAGGGCTTAGACAAATATAAAACAAGACTTTGTATCTTTTAAGAATCTTTTCATATATATATATATATATATATATATATATGTATATATATATATATATATATATATATCCTGTACGATGCAGCAGTAACCATTTATGGAGAATACATGTCAGGTCCAGTTTAAAGAATATGGCTTATGATAACTTTCAGAAGATACAATCCTAGAACATTTCTCATTTATTCATTCATCAAACTTGTACTGTAAGTGTGCTGTATATACAATATATATATCATATCCTATATAGGGGATATCAAAATGATGAAAAAATATTTTTTCATGAGGTAAATTAAAATACTGAATAAGGATGCTCTATGTTAATGAGGATAAAGAGGCCATGGCTGGCCCTGTACAGTGTTCTTCAGTGGTTAAAGCATTGGCCCTCACATTGAAGGGTCTCGAGTTCAATTCCCAAAGGCATGTACCTGCGTTGCAGGTTCCATCCCCAGCCCCAGTAGGGGTGTGTGTGGGAGACAACCAATCAATGTCTCTCTCCCACTCCCTCCCAACCTTCTTTCCACTCTCTCTAAAAATCAATGGAAAAATATCCTGAAGTGATGATTAACAAAAAAAATAAAGAATTAACCAATGGCCTTGGCCAGGTAGCTCAGTTAGCTAGAGTGTTGTCCTAATATGTCAAGGTTGCAGGTTTGATCTCCAGTCTGGGCAGATACAAGAATCAACCAATGAATGCATAAAAAGTGGAACAAATCACTGCCTGTCTGTCTCTTTTCCCCTTCCTCTCTCTCTCTAAAAAAATCAATCAATAAATATTTTTAATTTTAAAAAAATTTAAAGCCTGATTTTAAAAAAGAATTAACAATGAATGCATAAATAAGTGGAACAACACATTAATGTATTTTTCTCCCTCTCCTCTCACTCTAAAAAATAATTAAAATTAAAATATAAAGAGAATGAGCCGAAACCGGTTTGGCTCAGTGGATGGAGCATCGGCCTTCGGACTGAAAGGTCCCTGGTTTGATTCCAGTCAAGGGCATGTACCTTGGTTGCGGGCACATCCCCGGTGGGGGGTGTGCAGGAGGCAGCTGATTGATGTATCTCTCTCATCGACGTTTCTAACTCTCAATTCCTCTCTGTGTAAAATCAATAAAAATATATTAAAAGGAAAAAAAAAAAAAAAAAAAAAAATATATATATATATATATATATATATATATATATATATAAAGAGAATGAATTTCCCCTTCTTTTAAATAAAATAGGATTAACTGATCAAATATGTAAGATATCTGACAACTATTAAAAAATTCAATTTACTTATACTACTTAAGAGTATTGACAAAATCCAATGACACAACTGTAGAACCAAACTTCTAACATGTCTTATCTATGGCTACTGGGCTAGAAGACTTGTGAACTGTCAACAAGACCAGTATCCTCAAGAAAGAATCAATAAAACTCTGGGGAGTGAGGATATGTATGGGGGGGGGGGGGGCAATGGTAAGATATGTACACAGATAATAATTTAATAAAAAAAAGAATCGATAGCTATTTCACCCCCAAATCTGACCAACTAGTTGATTCCATTTTTTAAAAAGGTATAATTCTTAAATACCTAAATAGTACTAATGCCTAAAAAAGAGAAAAGCAGGATATATTGTTTTAGGTTTGTTTTTTAATATATATATATATATATACATATATATATATATATATATATATATATATATATGTATATATATATATATATATTTTGTTGTTGTTGATTTCAGAGAGGAAGGGAGAGGGAGACAGAGATAGAAACATCAGTGATGAAAGAGAATCATTGATTGGCTGCCTCCTGCATGCCCTCCACTTGGGATTGAGCCCGCAACCTGGGCATATGCCCTGACCGGGAATCGAACCGGTGACCTCTTGGTTCTTGAGTTGACACTCAACCGCTGAGCCACACCAGGGTGAGCTGTTTTTTAATATTTTTATTGATTTCAGAGAAGAAGGCAGAGGGAGAGAGATATAGAAACATTAATGATGAGGGAGAATCATTGATTGGCTGCCTCCTGCATGCTCCCTCCTGGGGATTGAGCTCACAACCCAGGCATGTGTCATGACTGGGAATTAAACCATGACCGCCTGGTTCATAGGTCGATGCTCAACCACTGAGCCTTGCTGGCTGGGCTATTGTTTTAGTTTTTTTAAAGGAAATCTCTTTAGTCTGACCAGGTAGCTCAAATGGTTGAATGTCGTCTTATACAACAAAATGGTTGCAGATTCAATTCCAAGTGAAGGCACATATCTAGGTTTCGGATTCAATCTCCAGTCAGGATGTGTACAAGAGGCAACCAATCAATGTTTCTCTCACACATTGATGTTTCTCTCTTTGTCTAAATCAATTTAAACACACACACACATCTTCTCAGGTAAGAATTTAAAATAATTTTTTAAAAAGAAAAGAAAATAGTTTTTCTAGAAGGAAAAACTATTAGATGCAGTCTACTCAGACACTCAGAAAACTGTTGGCTAGGGTCTATGCTTAAAGACTATAAAAAATAGAGGCTACATGAATAAGAATGATATTTTAATGGATTAAGAACCAATTTAAAGGCAGTACACAGAGCGAAGATAAATGGGTACTACTGTGGATACAAAAGCAAAACTAGTAACAATTTTAGTGAGAACTAGTTAGAGGTAATATTCTAATAAATTATTTGGAAGACAGATCAAAGGGTTACCTCAGATCTTCAATAAACATTGGGTTCTACTGAGTAAGGAAATCTCGGTAACAAAAAGAAAAATTTCCTGAAGTTGAATGAGACAAAAAGGCAGCATATAAGCTGACAATACACTTTCACATTTAGAAAAAACCATAAGTGATCCACAAAGAAGCCTCTGAATTGTCAATTACAGATCAAAAGGGAAACAGTGATTACTGAAGATGTCAGGTAAATGGAATAGTCCATAATGAGGATGGTTAACTAAAAAAAAACACACACACAAATGCAATCTGCTGTTCTAGCTATTAAATATCAATGTGTGCCCTCATTTGGAATATTATTGATTAGCTGTCATGTCATTAAGAAAAAATAGTGGAGCTAAAGAAATTTCAAAAAGGGTAACTAAATTATGAAGGGGAAGGGAAATGAAAGATGACTTACCAAAATCAAATCAAGAAAAAAAAACCTGTAAGATATAATCACATGTTTTTATCTAAAAAAATCTTACATAGCATAAACTATTTGTTAAAGAACTAAATAAAAATGCCTTAAAATAAATACGTAATTTCCTGTTTGTAAAATAAAGACTAGTTACAAGAATTAAACCAGATAATATATGTAAAACACTCATGCCACAGCCTACATGTGAGACATTAAATAAATATTGGTCCTTTTTTTCCCCCTCAAAAAATATCAAAGAAAGAAAACTGAATAAAAAGGATAGGCCAGGTGTCTCTAAACTGAAAGGACTCCAGATTTGCTCACCACGATCCTACATTTTTGGGAAGCCACTTCAAGACTGAAAATTTAATTTAGAAACTGTTTCCTTCTAGAAAAACTCATTTGCATGCACTATATGACAGGCATTGTTCTAGGTGATTGTTGTTCTAGGGCAGTGGTCGGCAAACTCATTAATTAACAGAGCTAAATATCAACAGCACAACGACTGAAATTTCTTTTAAGAGCTAAATTTTTTAAACTTAAACTTCTTCTAATGCTATTTCTTCAAAATAGACTCGCCCAGGCCATGGTATTTTGTGGAGGAGCCACACTCAAGGGGCCAAAGAGCTGCATATGGCTCTGGAGCCGCAGTTTGCCGACCACGGTTCTAGAGGATCTTAACAAGATGGACAATTTTTATATTCACAGGATTTATATTCTAGTGCAGGAAAGACAGGGAATAAATATAAAAAATAAGATTAAGATAAGCAGAATGAAGAAAATGAACAGGAGCCCAGCTGGTGTGGCTCAATGATTTCACGGGGACCTATGAACCAAGAGGTCACGGTTCAATTCCCAGTCAGGGCACATACCCAGGTTGTGGGCTCGTTCCCCGGTAGCGAGTGTGCAGGAGGCAGCCAATCAATGATTCTCTCTCATCATTGATGTATCTATCTTTCTCTGCCTCTCCCTTCCTCTCTGAAGTCAATAAAATAATGTTGGTTTTTTTTTAAATAAAAGAAAATGAACAGGGTGATAAGCTCCTGGGAGAAATGCCACTTTCACAAATAAGGTCAAAAAGGGCTTTCTGAGAAACAGCTACAAAAGAATGCTGGACTAGATGTAACATGCTAATGAACTAACCCAGTATATCCACTTTTTGGTACATGAAGAACTCAGAGTAATCCTTTAAAATGGTTTAAGAGGAGTTGAGAGAATACTTTTTATTTTGATGTGAAATTATACAAATGATTAAATTCGGTATATACATATCAATTAATAGATTTAAAAGGATACATACATAGTTCAAATTTAAATAGTTCATTTCTCATTAACCTAGCAGACTTAAACATGAAACAGCCTTTTCTAGCAGATACCATGTTAGCTGTTGCAATGGGTAATGTAAGAACTTGCAGTCCACTGCTCTTATGTATGAAACTCTGAAGGGTTATTGCAGGACGGTAGAATGGGTCAGATGCCATGATGTAAGTGCCCACTTTGAAAGGATATATATATATATATATATATATATATATATATATATATATATATATATATACAAAATCATTCTGTTGCTCAAATATATATTGTGTGTATTTATTTATTTTCTTCTCTTTTTACTCTATCAATTTGAATTAAAAGTTAGTAAAAATAATACTTGGAAGCCTAAATTCTAGACCTGCCAAGGTTAAGTCTTGGCCCTGCTATTGGCTACGTACACAATCTTGAAGGTCAAATTTTTCCCTTTTAAAAAACGAGAGATCTGGAAATTATATTAAATAATTAACTTAAGAAATGTGAGAAGTAAACTTGAGATTTTTTTAAATAACAGTATGTATAAAATACATTAAGAATGGAAATTCTGGAGAACACTTGACTCAGAAAAACTAAAAGTGCTTCACATCTTATTTTATATCCCCCAATGTTTACCTTTGTGACAGTGATGAAATCTGGTCCCAAGAAGACACTTTTTACTCCTTCAATCCTAAATAATTGCCTGTGAAAAAAAACAAAAAATGAGATAATAAAATGTTTAATTATGAAAAGTTTACACATAAACAAAAGTACAGAGAAAAATAAAAGAACTTCCATGTACCCATCATTAGTTTCAAGACATGGTCAATCTAGTTTTATCATTTTCCCCTAGCAATCCCACAATAAAAATATAAAACATTTTTATTACTGAAAAGATCCTCATTTCCCTTTGTATTCAGCCCTCTTGCTTTACCTTCATGTTCTATTAACTTTTGTTTTATGGAAATAACTTTTTACTTTTTTATTTTCGCTTTAAAAAATGTTTCCAGCTTCGCTGAAATATAATTGACATAAAACACTGTATAAGTTGAAGGTGCACAACGTGATGACTTGATATACATATATACTGTGAAATGAATACCACAATCAGGTTAGTTAGCACATCTGTCACCCTGGTAACTATTGAGCTTTATGCCACTACTGCTTTGCCTTTGCTAGAGTTTCATATTAATGAAACCATACAGTCTTTTGCGTTTAGCTTATTATAATGCTTTTGAGAGTCATCCTTGTTTTTATGTGTATCAATTGTTCATTCTACTTTACTGTCGAGTAGTATTACATTATACGGGCATTTACAACCTTTTTAGCCATTCCACAGTTGATGGACATTTCCAGATTTTTGGGGATGAGGCTATTATAAATAATGCTACTATATAGATTTATGTGCAAGCCTTTATGAGGCATATGTTTTGCTTTGTGTTTTTTTTGTTTGTTTTTATACATATAATAATCATATTGCACTTACTATCCTGAAACTTGCTTTCTTCACTTAACAGTATATCTTAGAGGTCATTCTGTGATGGTAAATATGGATTCTTCTCATCCTTTTAATATGTGAAGACCATGGATGAACAATGTTTATCTAACTCTTCCTTCTAATGAATATTTTGGTTGTTTCTAACTTATTCCCCTACCAACAAGGCTACAATGAACCTCCTTACACACACCTTGTGTACATATGAGGGCATTCTCTAGAGTTATTTTTTAAGCCCACCAGCAGGTTGTGAAATCAATTATGTAGTGACCAAAATGTTATCTAATAAAATAGAACAGAATAAAAAAGTAGAAACAAAATATAAGAATGCATTACATAAGGGTGAAACTGTCCCATCAAACACTTGTTTCATACAAACACACACGTATATGTATATATACATATATATATATCTGTGTGTGTCTATGTTCACATATACAGTATATAGATACCTGTATATGTATATATGTGTATGTGGTGTGCATGTTGAGTCATAACATAAAACGTTTATTATTGTGGCTTGTATCAAAATTATAAAAACAAATGCTCTAAGGTATATTCTGACTAGCAGCATGTTTAGGTCAAAGAAATATGTATTTTTATTAATTAGAGATTTTAAAAACCACTCTTGAGACAAACATATTTCTGACTCCCCTAAATGAGATTTGGGTATATATGGAGAAAATTATTTAAGTGATATTTTCTAAATATCCTTGGTAATCAGTATCAGCCACAGCTTACTAAAAATATCAGTTGATACTATTTCTTATTATAATTTATTTAGCTATCAGCTAAAAAGAGTTACATTCCAATTTTATTGTTTATATTATATTGATATATACTTACCTTGTCTCTATTTAGTGAACTTAAAAACTGTCTCAACTGAGTAGTTTTTTTTTTAATTGATTTCAGAGAGGAAGGGAGAGAAAGAGAAACACTGATATGTTGCCTCCCAGGGTTCAAACCTACAACCTGGGTTTATGCTTCCTGGGAAATCAAACCCATCACCTAATGGTGCACAGGACGATGCTCCAACCTAGTGAGCCACACCAGCCAGGATTTAACTGAATAGTTTTGTTTTGTTGTTAAATCATCCCATATCTGATAACTATTATAATTTATAGTTCTGAGTGGAATATTTTATAAATGATTTGAGACTTCTAGAAATGCAGCTATCCTTAAGAATTAAACAAGTAAGTTTTCATTGCTCATTAAAAACGGTTTTAGAGATTTAGAATGGAGCCCTGGCCCATGTGGCTCAGTTGGTTGAGCTTCAACCTATGAACCAGTCAGGTCACATGCCTGGGTTGCAGGCCCAATACCAGTGAGGGGCATGCAGAAGGCAGCCGATCGATTATTCTCTCTCATCATTGATTATTCTCTCTCATCATCTCTTTCTCCCTCTCCCTTCTTCTCTGAAATCAATAACATATATTTTAAAAAATAAAAGATTTAGAATGGAAATGAACTATATTATCATTTGATGTATTATTTTTCTTAAGATATAAATTTTTATATAGTCACTAGAAGCCCGGTGCACAAAATTCATGCACTGGGGGGAGGAAGAGTCCCTTAGCCCAGATTGCGAGAGGCCAGGCCAGGCCAAGGGACCCACCAGTGCACGATCAGGGAGGGACTCGGGAGAGCTCCAGGGCGTGTCTGGCCCATCTCACTCAGTTCTGATCAGTCGGATCACAGTAGCAAGCTGACCTACTGGTCGGAGCATCTGGTCAGTACACATCATAGTGAGCAGTTGAGCAGCCTTAGCATATCTTTGATTGGTCCAGACGACTAGACGACCAGACACTTAGCATATTAGGCTTTTATTATATAGGATGATACAGATCTCTCACTACATCACTTTTCAGAAGAAGACTTTCCTAATATCAACTCTTATATTTTTTACCCCTTATCTGAAAACGAAGCATTCTCTAAAAAAAAAAAAAAAATGCAGTGCACATAAAAACACAATAGCTAAATAAAGCTGCCTAACCCCAAAGTTAATTAATTAGGTTTCTTGGAAAAAGCAAGTGAAAACTAGTAATATACCTAGCCAGAGGGGAGCGAAATGCTGTAGCTGGTGTGGGGAAATCCATGGTCCTTGTCTCAAGAACTGGTTTTCCTGGAATAAATTTTAAACTGTTGGGATTTGGGGTATCTTGTGTTTGAATAAACATGTGTCTCACTAAAAGAGAAAAAAAGAAGAAATCATGTTAATCTGGAAATTAAAGTATTTAACAATTTATGAACTATGAAATGCTCATTTTCAGAGATCAAAAAAAGTAAGAAAATACTTTATTGCCCAATCTGACAAAATAAGAATTTCTAAAGACAAGAAGGCAATTTACCAATATATTTAGGATAACTGCATTGAATTTTATATTAATTTTGATTATTTAGATAGTTTTGCTACTCAACAGATTCTAGTAATATCCTATATTTAAGTAGGAAGGTATATATATATATACACACACACACACACATATATATTATAGTTCAGGAATTATATGTATTCTATGTGGTGACTTAATACCAATGGCTATCATAATCATAAATCATCATCACTGTGATATTAATATAGTAAAATGTTACATTCTCTTCTTCCAAAGTACTACCAGCCTTTTAAAGACAAAAAAATTTTAATAATATAATAACTACTATTTATTGTGTGCTTAGTAGGTACATGCCAAGGACTGAGTTGAGTGCTTTTTTTTTTTTTAAACTGATTTTGAGAGAGAGAGAGAGACATCAGTTGGCTACCTCCTGCACACCCACTATCAGAGCATATGCCCCGATCAGGAATCGCAGCCTTTGAGTGTTTGGAATGATGCCCAAATGAACCAAAGGAGCCAGGGTGGGTCCAGTGCGTTAAACGTAAGTATGCCTTTAACAACCTATGAAGAAGGTACTATTACTCCCTTTTTACAAACGGAAGAAACTGAGGCTTAGAGATAAGTACAGTAACATGTTACAAAGAGTTAAGTAACTGCCCAAAAAGTAGTATAGAATTAGTGACACTATAAATTATCATGTAAGTGGGAGTCTATGTGACTTACTTTCTGGAATACTTAAAAGTATCTTTACAGCCCTGGCAGATTGTACAGTGGTTAGAGCATCAGCCCAAGGACCAACAGGTTCGATTCCTATTCAAGGGCACCTACGTGAGTTGCAGGTTTGATCCCCAGGCCCAGTCAGGGTGAACGTTGGAGGCCACCAATCAATGTACCTCTCTCACATTGATGTTTCTCTCTTTCTCGCTCTTCCTCCCTTTACACTCTCTCTAAAAATTAATGAGAAAAAACAAACAAACCTTCGGGTGAAAATTAACAACAACAACAAAAATATTGTCATTATAGGTTCTTTTCTTTTTTCTAGGGCCATGATTAGATTGAGAATGTTCTTCAATTAAAGAACAAAATATTTTATTTTATTTCATTTTATTTTTTTAAAATATATTTTTATTGATTTTGTACAGAGAGGAAGGGAGAAAGATAGAGAGTTAGAAACATCGATGAGAGAGAGTCACCGATCAGCTGCCTCTTGCACACCTCCTACTGGGGATGTGCCCGCAACCAAGGTACATGCCGGAATCGAACCCGGGACCCTTCAGTCCCCAAGCCGACGCTCTAGCCATTGAGCCAAATCGGTCTCAGCAAGAACAAAATATTTTAATTCGCTACCTTGTTAATATAACTTGTAAGACAAAAAGATAGAAAGTACCGGGATTTTAACAGTTTTAAAACTATTGAACAAGCCTTTACTATTTATTATGAAAACACACCTTCTGACAAAAAAAAAACACACCAATTCTCATCTCTGAAATAGGTTAATTCACTAGGTTATTAACATGTGCTGGGCCCTGGCCAGGTAGCTTGGTCGGTTGGAACATCATCTGATGCTCCAAGATTGTGGGTTCAATCCCCAATCAGTGTACATACAAAACCAGTGAGTGCCTGGATAAGTGAAACAATGAATCCATGTGTATCTCCATCTCTCTCTCCCTTTTCTCTCTCTTTCTAAAACCAATACATGTGCTAGGTATGATGCTAAGCATTCCACATGAATTATATCACATACTCCTCACATTCTGCAAAGGAATTAGTTTTTATCCTATTTTATAAATGAGGAAACTAAAGCCTAATGTCACTCAGCTATTTAAAGTGATAAAACTGCCAATTTTCTAGCACTAACTTGCGTAACCATTGTGCATATTGCCACTCCATACTTATCAATGTCAAGCATAACAGAAAAACATATATAAAATCAATCTTTCTATCTTGTCATAATTCTCATACCACACATCCTAGAAAAGACAGGAAAATATAAAAAAGGCAACAATTTTATTTTAAATTAGAGGTTAAATCTGGCAAAACATATGGATGCTATGAAAGTGCTTTTCTTACAAGATTCTAACTTGACAGCCGAGAACTGTTTTTGCACCTTGCTCTGTAGTTCCAGCTAACTGATGCTGAGTCATTTCCTTGGTGAAGTAGAAATTGAAACTAAAGTCCCATACATTTTGCTTATTTAAGTCATTATCCTATAAGATATCAGTTGGTGACCTGGTGACTAGGAAAGTCCTAAAAAAGAGAAAAGTTTTAAATGATAGCCTCAGTGTTCAAGTGCTTGGTTTAAAATATTTATACCTCTAACCAATTAATGCCTCTGAAAATCTGTGTTAGAGAAAACAGTTTTTCAGATGGAACATTAAAGAAAAGGCTTTCTGCAAACATAAAGATAACAAGATTCTTTTAACTGTGGTTCTGACCAATCATTTCTTGCAACCTTTCTTAATAACTTATTGGTAGCCAAAAGCGCCACACACATTAGGCACTCTTCCAATATTTAAAGAATTAAGTCTGGCTTTTATTCACCTCAATCCATTTATGTAAAACTATATATACAGGAAGAAAAATGTTTAGAAATACTTGAAGGTAGGAACTATAAGTATAAAAAAATTTGTTAAGAGAGCAAAATCTGAGGTAGAAAATAATATATGGACATCATTATATAAATTTTCTTTTGACAATGAACAAAGCTATTTCAAAAAAGTGATTTGACTGGGTATTAACAAAATCATTCCAATTATGGTCTAAATTGGGTTCAATTAAAAAATAATTCCCAGGTCCATCATCTAGATTCTAGAAAGATGTCCCTGAAAGGTGTCATAAGGGTTACACCAGGATACAAAGACTGATCTAAAATAATTGTTCCTATTATTATTGGTACTGAGAGGTAAAGAGGTAGACATAAGTTCCTCCAAAACAAAGATTAATGGTGCTTAAAGTCAGTATCAAAGATTAAAATCAGCAGCCCTCCAATTTAGAAAGCTTAGGTAATCACATAATTCAGTCCCACAGAAATTTAAAGTCCAATTAAAGTATCTTAATATGTTGAGATACTCAATATTTATACCTAATTTATTCTGTGATTCGAGAGGCAACGTACTCTGTTCTTGTTCTAGTACACAGGGGAGATGTGGTCTATAACCTAATCCAACGCATGCCATTAGCCAGTCAGTCACCTTCCAGAGTATGGCCAGGAGGTGTTCAAGGTAGTGATGGAAATAGAAATGGGCCAGGAGCTGAATCCACTTTTGCAGCTCCATAAGCACTCATAGATAGGTATTTACAAACAGATATATGCTCTTTCCTCCCAAGTTTGCCTAGTCACACAATAGCTCCTCCCAATATGACACGATAATGGTCCTATTTAAATAATTTTCAAATCCTATCCTCATACCCATTTCCAATATTAAAGAAAGTAAAAGTATATAATACCAACCAGATTGAAAAAAAAAAAACACATACACAAATAAAATCAAAAAAAACAACAACACAGACTTATTTTGACCAGAAAAAAAATATATTCAAAATACTATGTTCTATGGTGTGGATGAAAACTAGAAATTTACTGGCTTCAGAGATATTATAAAAATAAGAAAGGTAAGAACTTAAAATACATGATTCTTTGAAACACAAATTCATTTGTAACTTTTTACCATATCTGCATCTCAGAAATCATTTATTAAGCAATCGTATGTTTCAAAGGATGTGTTATACAAGATACTGAAATTTCATAGCTCTATTGGACACTGTGCTCAGGATTCTTGAAATACCAATGATACATGTAAGCAAATAATTACAGCAAAACATGATGTTTTGATAGGGGAAAAAATGCTATCTTGTTTTATAGGTACCTGAAGATAAAATTTACAAATTCTCACCTTTTATGACTTAGAAAATTTCACTCAAGCAGTTTCATTATCCTCTGAAACACAATTTGCCCTGAAAGAGGTGAAATTTTACCTGTGTTACGTAAGGTTGCAGATAGTGGGACAGGTGGTCTTTGCACAAACTGATGCAGAGGCTGTTTCTTAATGGTGCATGGTTTCATCATGTCATATAACCTACATTTAAAGACAAAAATGACATTTTAAGAATCTTTAAGTTGTTTCTGCTTCTCATACATAAAAATCCATAATGAAAATAACAAAACGCCAAGTTTACATTTTCCTATCTACAACATGACTTTCACTTCCTCAGGCAAGAATAGCTACAATTTAGCCAGGACTGGTTTGGCTCAATGGATAGAGCGTCGGCTTGGGGACTGAAGGGTCCCAGGTTCGATTCCCGTCAAGGGCATGGACCTTGGTTGCGGGCACATCCCCAGTAGGGGGTGTGCAAGAGGCAGCTGATCGATGACTCTCATCTCATCGATGTTTCTAACTCTCTATCTCTCTCCCTTCCTCTCTGTACAAAATCAATAAAATATATTTAAAAAAAAGAAAAAAAAAGAAAAGAAAAAAAAGAATAGCTACAATTTAAAAACAAGAGCTCCCTGAAACCGGTTTGGCTCAGTGGATAGAGCATCAGCCTGCGGACTGAAGGTCCCAGGTTTGATTTCGATCAAGGGCATGTACCTTGGTTGCAGGTACATCCCCAGTAGGGGGTGTGCAAGAGGCAGGTGATCGTTGATTTTCTCTCATCGATGTTTCTAACTCTCTATTCCCCCTCTCTTCCTCTCTGTAAAAAATCAATAAAATATATAAACAAAAAAACAAACAAACACAAGAGCTAAATGGGAAATTTACATCCTTGATAACCGAGTGCACACAGGATAGTGCAATAGCTGGTGTAAGAAACAAATATATCTACACTCATGATTCATAATCTCAAGTTCCAGACTCGTAGTTAAGTTGGTTACGCGTGAAGGAGGCAAAGAACTACAGTTTTTCCCCCTTATTTCAAAAAATGTCAATGAGGTAATAGACTCACATGGTTCCGAATTTAAAAGGAAAAAAGAAAATACAGTGAAAAGTCCTTCTTTCCTGTTTCTACACTTCCCTAGAAAGAGATAACCTATACTCTGTGGTTTGAAAGTTATTTCAATACTTCAGAAAGTCTAGCAGAAAGTATAAACTGCTCAAGAAGCCACCATCTTTGATTGGAAGTATATTAGTACTGTAACTTTAGCTATTACATTACGATAGAGGAAGTGTTGACTGGCTATTTTTGCATGCCTTTGGCAAATTAAAAACAAGGAGAGCCCTGAGCATCATCAGCCTGCTCACCGGAGGTCACAGGTGCCATTCAGGTCAAGGGCGTACCTGGGTTGCAGGTCCAAGTCCCAGTCAGGAGGCAACCAATGGACGAGTCCTGCCACATTGATGTTTCTCTCTCCCCTCTCCTGCCCCACTCCCTTTCCACTCTACCTAGAAATCAATGGAAAAATATCCTCATCCTCGGGTGAGGATTAAAAATAAATAAAATAATAACAAGGAGAAAGGGGAAAAAACATTATTACTGGAACGGAAATAAAGAGAGACTTTAGTAGTGAAAATTTTAGAAATCTGATGCAAGTTCTTTTGAAGTCTAGTTTACTGTAAAATATTACCATTTTCATTTCGCAGGAATCACTGAGGAATTTTAAGCATATATAATGATCACTTTTTCTAACATGATTATTTTTTATGTATATTTGTTATTATTGACAGTATTCCACATGTCTCCCATTTACCCCCCTTTACCCTGCCTGTCCTCCTGGCCCCTACTCACCCCCCAGATTTTTCCCCACCCTATTGCTGATGTCCATGGGCATCATATCTAAGGAATAAGTTCTTTGGTTTCTCTCTTCCCATCCCCTCAACCCCCCATCAAGGTATGTCAGTCTGTTCCATGCATCCAAACTTCAGGTCTTTTATTGGTCAATTCATTTTGTTCATTAGATTCCACAAATAAGTGAAATCACGTGGTATTTGTCTTTCTCAAATTGGCTTACGTCACTTAACATAAACACCTGATTATTTTCACTTGCAAACTCATTAAGGGGAAGGACTGTCTTCATTCCTATGTCCCTGGAGCAGCTAGCATCATGGCCTCAGTTCTACATCCCTAAAATTAATTTAATATTCACAGCTCTCTTAGAAAGACGTGGGCAACGATGGATCCAAATAATCCATGTATGTTAGCAGATGATCCCTGGCAAGGCGCTCAGGGGCAGGGGAAAACAAGGGCACGCAGTGGGTTTAAGAGAACGGGAGGAAATCCAGGGGTCTGGCTTCTCAGAGTGCCATCACTTGGCTGATGTGTGACCTCAGACAGGTTATGTCCCCTTTCTGGGCCTCACTGGGAAATGAAGAAATGAGAGGACGAATTATTTTACCACAGCCTGACTTTTCATGTTTAAAAGGCAAAGGAGGGCCCACAGGCGTGGATCAGTGGTTGAGCATGGATCTATGAACCAGGAGGTCAAGTTCCCATTGGTCAGGGCACCTGGCCCTGAGGGCTGGGTCCCCAGTGGGGGGGCCTCTAACAGGCGGCAGATCAATAATTCTCTCTCATCATTGATGTTCCTCTCTCTCTCCTTCTCCCTTCCTCCCTGAAATCAATAAAAACATATTTAAGAAATAAAAATAAGTAAAAGGCAAAGGATGGAATGCACGTGGTGAACTGCTAGAGGGACCACAGGATTTACACTATTTAAAAATAGCTCTGGCCGAAACCGGTTTGGCTCAGCGGTGGAGCGACGGTCTGCGGAATGAAAGGCCCCAGGTTCGATTCCGGTCAGGGGCATGTACATTGGTTGCGGGCACATCCCCGGTAGGGGGTGTGCAAGAGGCAGCTGGTAGGTGTTTCTCTCTCCTCGGACGTTTCTAGCTCTCCATCTCTCTCCCTCTCTGTAAAAAATCAATAAAAATATATTTTAAATAAATAAATAAATAAAAAAGCTCTGGGGCGGCAGAGGTCCATGGGGGGGGGGGGGGGGAATATATGTAACACTTTCAACAACGAAGATTTAAAAATAAATAAATATAAAAATAGCTCTTGCATTGGGTCTCTACAGCCGGGCTCTGCAAAGCTCCCCTCCGCAGGGACCCGGGCACGGGGGTCCCCAGCCCGGGACCGGGCAGCGCAGAGCCCACCCCAACCGGGGCCTCGGAGCTGCGGGAGGACGGACGCCACCGCCGGGGCTCAGCCCCAAGGGCGGCCCGAAGGCTCGGTCAGAGGCACCTCTCACCGCTCCGCCCGGGGGAGCGGGCAAGGCGGTTACCGCTTCGCTGGCTACACCCAGCGGCACCCCTACGCGGAGCTCAGGATGTGTCACCTACCGCCTGCGCAAGCCGGCGGCACGAGCCGCAGCTCCGCAGCCCAGCCGGGCCGCCGCCGCCGCCATCTTACTCCGAGTGCGCAGGCGTGGGGGACCGGCCTCTCCTTTCCCCGAGCCGCGCCCCGCGCAGGCGCAGCCCGGCCGCGAACCGGACAGGCTCCGTGGAGAGCGCCCTCTGCCGGTCGTAGGCGGCGCTGCTGCGGATGAGCCGGGAGGGCTTGAGCCTGGCTGTTTGCTACCATTGCCTACCTCACTGCATAAGCCTGGACAAGCGGCGGGGCGGGAAGAAATCCCTCAGTAAGCCTCGCTTTTCTTACTCGCTGGGTCCTGCTCCTGCACCGACTGGTCCTGCGGTTGGAACGGTGTTCCCGACCCCTGCCCCATTGCCATTTGACCCAGCTCGGTGACTGTCTTAAAAGACTCCTGGGAGCATCATCTCTGAGGATTTTAGCCTTCCACCAGCGAGCTGCCTTCCGTTCCCTGTCAGGGCTGATGTGGGCCTCGGTGCCTGAGCCTGGGCTTGTGGACTTGGCCATCTTGGACCACCAACACACATAGTGGACTCACCTCTCACGTGGCTGCCCTTTGCATGACTATTGACTAGTTTCTGGAGCAAAGTACAAAAGCCCATTAAGTGTTCTTCCAGAACCTTCTAGGGGCATTGGCTTTCTCTAGGGAAGCGGTTCTCAAAGCATCAAAGGCATGGAAACACGTTGGAAATGCAGTTACCAGGCCCCACCTTAGACCTACTGAATCACATTCTTGAAGGTGTGGTCCAGGAAGCTAACAAACCTTCCATGTGACTCCAGGCAAAAGTGTGAGAATCAACCACCACTGTAGAAAATAAACACAGCACTGATTACTGAAACAGAAACAATACACTCGTTTTGGACAGGTGAAGCCACGTCCAAGACAACCCTGGAGGTTTCCAAGGCTGGAGAGGCACCTAAGAGGGTGGGTGGGACTTCAGACGTGCAGCTGGCCTCAATCTGGCCACTGTGAGCAGACACTGCTTCCTCTGAAGGCAGTCTACGCCCCCAAGGCTGCTCGCTGTCTTCTAACCACCCTGTCTCTCCCATTCTAGACTTCAGTGCCAGCCAAGGCTTGTCCCTTGACTGGCTTCTAGACCCTGAATCAATGGGGCTCTTCTACCCAAGAATAGGCCCCAGTTAGGGAACAGCCTTTATATCTTAAACTTCTCCCTCTCTTATGGGTTCCTTCAGGTAAAGAAAAATCCTGCCTTGCTCCAAATATCCTTCCAGCCAACACTCTTTCTTTTCCTCCCTTCAAAGTCAAATGGCCTAAAAGAATTGCCTACATACACCTTTTCACCCTCCACCCCTCAAACCACTGAAACCCGCCTTCCCTGTCCTATCATTGCCTGGGGGCCACTCTGGTCAAGACCACGCACAACATCTCTGTTGCTGCACCTTAAGGATCATCTTGGTTTTTACCTATCTTGTCTCTCTCCCTTTAATAATGTTCCTTGGGCTTCCCTGGCACCACAACTGCTAATTTTCCCTACTCCTTTCCTGGTTAGTCCTTCTCCTTCTCCCTGGCAGAGTTTTTTCTGCCCACTTTTTAAATGCTGGTGCTTTGGGGGGCCTCATTCCAGGCACCCTTCTCCCATTCTTTAGTGGCTGACAGGCTTCATTTGGGGAAGCTTATACTAATTAGCATTTCCAGCAGCCACCAAAGTATGTTTCTCTCCCATGCAAAAACTGGATTAAAAACACACATACTTTGCCAGTTCTTGGTCATTGACGTTAAGTGAAAAACAAAACTGGTTAGTAACAGCACATATAGTATGATCCCATTTATGTAAAATCATTTGTGTGTCTGTGTGCCTAGAAGTGCTGGCGGGCAGACTGCCAGTCTCTCTCTCTTTTCCTGCTTCTGGATGTTTTCAGTTCCTTAATTATGCCAAATTATTTCCCGCCTCAGGGCCCTTTGGGAATCAGTGCAGAAAACCCGGTCAATCCCAGCCAAGGAATAAGACTGCGCCCTGATCCCAAGCCCCCTTCTCCTGCCCCAACCTGCTGGAGGCAGGTGGAGGAAGAGGAGGAGGCAAGTCCCTGAGCCCTACCTAGAGGGAGGAGAGGAGCTCTAAGGCAGATATTAAGATGGGAACTTTAGCCCTAACTGGTTTGGCTCAGTGGATAGAGCAGTGTTTTTCAACCTTTTTTGGGCAAAGGCACACTTGTTTCATGAAAAAAATCACGAGGCACACCACCATTAGAAAATGTTAAAAAATTTAACTCTGTGCCTATATTGACTATATATAAAGTAATTCTCTTGAATAGGAATCAAATAAACACAAAGAAAGTATTTTATAATTACTTTATTATGAAATATTAAGCAAACAAAATAGTGAAAAATTATAAAATTCTTGTCTTGTCTGCACCTACGGCACACCAGGCAACATCTGTGCCACTTAACAGCGGTTGAAAAACGCTGGGATAGAGCATCGGCCTGCAGACTCAAGGGTCCCAGGTTCGATTCTAATTAAGGGCATGTACCTTGGTTGTGGGCATATACCCAGTAGGGGGAGTGCAGGAGACATATACCTTGGTTGTGGGCATATACCCAGTAGCGGGTGTGCAGGAGGCAGCTAGCTGATTTATGTCTCTAACTCTCTATTCCTCTCTGTAAAAAATCAATAAAAAGATATATTTTTTTAAAAAAAGATGGGAATTTTAAAGACTTGGTTAGATTTTTTTTAATACTTGAGAGAGTAAGATGGAAAATAAGATAGTTTTACTCTAGCTGGTTTGGTCCAGTGGATAGTATCAACCTGCAGAATGAAAGATCCGGGTCCGATATTGGCTAAGGGCACAAACCTTTGGTTGCAGGCTCCATCCCTAGCCACGGTGTATAAGCCCCAAATTCTAACTGTCCCCTGGAGTCATATTTTCCTGTGAACTACTGTGTAAGTATGTGAATAGAAAACTCTTTTCTCTTGCTAATCTCTTTTGGCAGTTTCATCAAACTCCACAGTTTATTTGCATTTTACTGTTTCGCCCCTAATGTTCTTTTTCTGCTCTGGGATCCTATGTGGGGTATATTATTTCACTTGTCATATCTCCTAGCATCTTCTGGTCTGCAACAGTTTCTCAGAGTTTCCTTGGTTTTGATAACTTTCACAGTTTTGAGGAGTGCCAGTTAGGGATTTGTCTGATGTTCTTTACTTGAGTAGATGGGGATTATAGGTTTTGGGGAGGATGATCACAGAAGTGTGGACAAAAATAGAAGTCCTATGGAAAGTAACCTCACAGGGTGATCTGATCATAAATTTCTAACTAGGCCCTAGTTGGTGTCCTCAGTGGTTAGAGTGTTGGCCTGTTTCTTGGGTGTATGAAAGGCAACCAATGGATGAGAGATTCTCACGTGGATGTTTCTCTCGCTCTCTCTTTTCCCCTTCTCTTCTTCCCTCTCACTCTCTCTAAAAAGCAATGGAAAAAATATCCTCGGTGAAGATTAACGAAAACAACTAACAAAGTGGGCTAATAATGATGAATTTTCATCAAGAAATTCTATTAAGCAGCTGAAACTGGTTTGGCTCAATGGATAGAGTGTCGGCTTGGGGACTGAAAGATCCCGGGTTCAATTCCAGTCAAGGGCATGTACCTTGGTTGCGGGCATATCCCCAGTAGGGGGTGTGCAAGAGGCAGCTGATCGATGACTCTCTCTCATCGGTGTTTCTAACTCTCTATCTCTCTCCCTTCCTCTCTGTACAAAATCAATAAAAATATATATTTTTTTAAAAAAGAAATTCTATTAAGCAAATACATTAATTCTTGGGTCAATTTAGTATGTAGTACATTTCCATTTTATTGTAATTTATTGTAATTATTTTCATTGAAACCCAGTTTTTTTTATACACTTACTAGAGGCCCCGTGCACGGAATTCTTACACAGGGGTGGGGAGGTGTCCTTCAGCCCAGCCTGCACCCTCTCCAATCTGGAAAACCTCACACTCCAGGACTGCTGGCTCCCAACTGCTCACCTGCCTGCCTTCCTAGTTGCCCCTAACCACTTCTGCCTACCTGCCTGATCACCCCCTCACAACTCCCCTGCCAGCCTATTTGCCCCTAACTGCCCTACCCTGCAGGCCTGGTGGCCCCCCCCCCCAACTGCTCTCCCCTGCAGGCCTGGGTCCCTCCCAATTGCCCTTCCCTGAAGCCCTGGTCACTCCCAACATCCCTCCTCTGCTGGCCTTAATCGCCCACAACTGCCCTCTCTTGCAGGCCTAGTCCAACTGCCCTCCCCTGTTGGCCATCTTGTGGTGACCACCTTATGTCCACATAGGGGGCAGGATCTTTGACCACATGGGGGAAGTCATCTTGTGTATTGGAGTGATGGTCAACCTGCATATTACTCTTTTATTAGATAGGATAAAGGCCTGGTGTACAGGTGGGGCCAGTTGGTTTGCCTTGAAGGGTGTCCTGGATCAGGGTGGGGGATCCCTTGGGGTGTGAGGCTGCCTGAGCGAGGGGCCTGTGGTGGATTGCAGGCCAACCACAACCCATGGCGACCCAAGTGGAGGCCCTGGTATCTGGGGTTTATTTATCTCCTACAATTGAAACTTTGTAGTCTGGAGCAGAGCCAAGCCTTCTGCTCACTCTGTGGTGGCAGCCATTTCTGTTGGGGTTTATGTATCTTCTATAATTGAAACTTTGTAGCCTTAAGCGGATCCTGGGTAGGCCTGGGTGTACGGAAAGCTTGGCTTCTTCTATTGCCAGAGGCAACCCTAGCCTCCTGCTCTTTCCAGCTCCTGGCTGCCTCCATTTATGTTTTGATTTATGTATCTTCTATCATTGAAACTTTGTAGCCTTTTGTGGAGGCCTAGGCCAGCAAGGGCAGGTGGAAAACTTGGCTTCCTCCATTGCCAGGGAAACCCAAGCCTCCCTCCTGCCCTCTGTGGCCGTAGCCATCTTGGTTGTTTATTTGCATATTCACTCCTGATTGGCTGGTGGGCAGGGCTTGAGTGTAGTGGAGTGATGGTTAATTTGTAAATTACTCTTTTATTATATAGGATAATAGAGACTTATTAGTCAATTTGCTGTTCATTTCAAAATTTGCCAATGGTATCTTCTGCTACTGAGTTCTCTTGTGGCCACTATACCTGCTAAATTCAAATTTCCCAAGCAAAAATTTTGACTTAAATATTGTCAAGATTTCATTCTTTAATTTATTAAAATATATTTTATTGATTTTTACAGAGAGGAAGGGAGAGGGATAGAGAGCTAGAAAAGTCGATGAGAGAGAAACATCGACCAGCTGCCTCTTGCACACTCCCTTTTGGGGATGTGCCCACAGCCAAGGTACATGCCCCTGACCGGAATTGAACCCGGGACCCTTCAGTCTGCAGGCCAACACTCTATCCATTGAGCCAAACTGGTTGCAGCTCATTCTTTAATTTTTAAACATGTTCAGTTCTAGCTGTCTTGAACTTTACTTGAATAATTCTGCTGGTAATATTCATTATAAACTGACTGAATAAAGATGGGTAAGATTTAATTTTTAGTTAGTGTATGAGAAAACTGGTCAATTAACAAGGTTTCTCTATTGAGTGAAAAACAAAGTAGGTTCTTGGGATCAAAAGGTCCTGCTCAAAAACAGGAAGAGACTGAGGGAGCTCGTAGAACTGCTAATTTCACCATATCTGATTTTGGAAATTCCATATTTAGTGATGATCTTGGTGCCAAAACCTCAGCAATGAACAATTTGGTTGTCTTCTGAAGGAAATACTTGGATTCCTTGTAGGCCTCTTGGTTAAAATCATATAAAAGCAGATTGAAAAATAACTTAGTCCCCTTTCAGGTAAGCTAACATGCTAACTTAAGTCTTCTATATTTTACTACTCCAATATAAGGAAAGGTGAACTCAAGGAAAAGTATGTAAGACAGAAGGGGAAAATATTTTTGTCTCCAAATTCAGAGAAATAGGTCAAAACCACCTGCTCATGGCTTTTTCCTGGGTCTCGCCCTAGTTCTTCCCACTTGGTTCTCCATTAGGGGGCAATATAAGGGTAAGGAAAACTTTTTGATTAATCGTAACTTAAAATAGAAAAAAGTTTAAGGACGTCACATTATAGAACTATACTTAAAGATAGATGAATCAAATCTTAAATCCTCAGAAAAAGTAGCAAACTTTGGTTTTACTCATGCATATTGTCAGAACTTTTTGGATGCCTGGATCTTCTTTGACCATTATATCTGTGAACTCAGCTCATCAACAATTCTCCCTGCATCATGGATGTGAAGCTCACTAAAGTTCAAATATTAGTTATTCCCCCAAATTTGGAGAGGAAATAGGCAGGCAGGTTCTTTCCCACAGTGGAGATTTTTTAAAATTCTTAAGTAAAATGCACCCTCTCCTCCCCAAGACTTCTTTATTTAATGTTAATATCTCTCTTCAGGTTAATGCAGCTCACATTCAGATTAACAGACATATTACATGCTCACAGGAGTTTGCATAGTAGGGAGCTCTGTTGCTTTCCCAGCTTGGTCTTTATGGCCTGATTATCTTATATTATTTCATTTATTTCTCTATAAAACACCTAGAGTAGAAAGATCTCTATAAAACACCTAGAGTAGAAATAAAAATAATGGTATTGGAAAGCAAGAAAGCAACCAACCAACCATTGTTCCTGAAACTTAAAAATATAAAACTAGGCTTGGCACTAAAAGAAAATGTACTTGTGGAGCTTTAAGATATATATGATATATATGATTTCAGGGAAGAAGGGAGAGGCAGAGAGATAGAAACATCAGTGATGAGAGAGAAATATTGATGGGCTGCCTCCTGCACACCCCCTACCAGGCATTGAGTCCTCAGCCTGGGCACGTGCCCTGACTGGGAATCAAACCATGACCTCCCGGCTCATTGATCAATGTTCGACCACTGAGCCACACTGCCCAGGCACTTATGGAGCTTTTCAATCCCAGAAAGATCTGTCATAAAAAATAATACAAAAGTATAGCTCACTTATTTTTAATTAGGTTCAGTTTAATAAAGTATATAGGAGTTTACAACTCAATTATTCATAAACACTATCAGATACATAAGATAGATCACACAAAGTGTGCAATAACATAAATCCAATAGTCTGCAAATAAGAGGTATTGCAAAAACAAAGATTGACTTTATAATTGTCTTTCCCCTTCCTTTTCCATGTTCACAGCCTCGAGATTGCATACACATATTGTTTTCTGAGGTCTTATGGCCTCAATACTCCTTTCAGCTGGGTCAACCTCATCAGTCAGTCAATTCAAAATACAGCCAGCAGAGGGGGTGCACCTCTTCTCCATGGAATGAGCATGGTCCATGGCCTGTATTGGTTTCCAGTTCCTAAAAAATGACCTGAAATATTTCCTCTTTCAAAGTAGTATCTTGTAGTGTTCTGGTCATTGTTTCCCTCCCAACACTATACATGAGCCAAGAATTCAGGACAAGCCCTACTAAGTTTCATTCTCGTGGAAGAGAAGAGCATGCTTACTGTGGAAATGAAGCTCAGGCAATGGCTGCTTTATCCCACTTGTGTAGAACAACTTTAGTTCTTACTCAGGATCTTCTTTGAACATCATCTCTGTGAACTCAACCCACCACCAATTCTTCCTGAATCATGGATGTGAAGCTCACTGAAGTTCAATTACTGTAATTTCCCCAAATTTGGAGCAGGAAACAGCTATGTCTGGCAGCATTTTGATGATGGGATCCTGGGCATCACACATTGGGAGGACTATTTCCTAATAAGAGTCAGGAAGCTGTTGGCAAATGGAACCAAATTTACTCATGCCAAATATCCACTCTCACCTCTTGGTATTCTTTGGATGCCTTTATTAGGAGGTCTTAACACCATGGCAAAATACATGAGCTAAACACACACACACACACACACACACACACACACACACACACGCACACGCACACACGCGCACATATACACAGACGTAACATTCACATTTCCCAAAAAGGAGTCTTTGGTAGACTCAGAGAATACATCTGACTTGTTTCAGAGTGAAAAGGCTATGTCTTCTTTCACTCTCAAAGGCTCACTTTAACTGACATTGGTAAAAACCATTTCTGTAATTAATTCTTTACCCAAAGGAATCAAACAGATCCCTTTAACATGCATATACTGGTATATTACAATGCCTAGATTTCAAGAACAAAACATTGTTAGTATGAACTCAACACATATTGAGATTGCTGTGAAGTAGCTCAGACTAAATTTCTTATATAATTATGTTATGGGAATACTGGACTAAACCACCAGTGGGTTGGTTAACATTAGCTATTTTTACAAGCTATTCTAAAGTCCCTGAATTCTAGGGCACTCTGGGACCTATGTTAGATCAAGATTAGATGCTTTTTGGTTGTTTCACAGAGTAAGGCTGGGGTCCTGCCAACCTTCCTTCATCCTTCCTTCTAGTCCACAAGAAATGAGGAAGGTGAGCCATTTCATTCTTATTTTGTCAATTACTCCAGTGTGGTGAGATTATCTCGGGCTAGGCTGAAATGTAAGGAGAAACTGTTTACAGTAAAAAGGGAGGCAAATAAAAATGAACGTAGTATTCATTCACACCCCTTAAACACTTAGTGGTATGGTCATAATAGAGGGAGGTCATGTGAGGAAATGAAGTAGGTATAGGAACAAGGAAAATGAGCCAGGAAGACTTGCAGGGTAAAGAAGGAGCAGGAAAAAGCTATGTCTGGCAGCATTTTGATGATGGGATCCTGGGCACCACATGTGGGAGGCCTGTTTCCTAATAAAAGACCAGGTGCAAATGAGGCAGATAGGACCAGGAAGACAGAGAGCAAGGTGGCATTCTGAAAACCAATTCATGACCAGTGTAAATTCCCACATCTAAGCTAGCCAGCTTGTTGTTCTCAGCAACCTAGCAAATTTATTTTGTAGCAAAAGAACACAAAAACAATTCCCAACCTGATACTACTGTTTATTTTCAAGCATTTTGAAATTCCCTCTTAAGTGAACTTCACAAGTCACAAGTTTGCAAGTATCCTGGTGGTTCAAAACAAAAAAGAACAAACAAAAAAAAAACTACAAGTAGTAGTTAACAAAGGCATTGGAAACACTAAGAATTTATATTACATAATTTCACTTAAAATCTTCATGTTTACTCCATCCGGCAAGATTGAAGGACCGAAACTCAGGGGCGGCTGTGGTGCTTACAAGGTGCTCCTGCTCCTTAGAAGTGTGGCCCTCTCCTACGTACCTTTAATCAAAGCAATCTGGGCTCCATATTTTTCAGAAACTTGGCAGTTTTCTCAAAAACTACGTCTGTGTGGGCAGCAGCCACTCCACAGTTGACTGGCATATATTCTCCAATCTCAGTTCCAAAGACATAGCAGAGAATAACATTTATTAAAGTGACTCTATTTTAAGTCATATTCTTCCTGGAAAAGAGCTTGATCCCACCCTTCTCTAGTTTCCTAAATGGTAAAGTTTCCCATTTGACATAATTATACATATTATAGGATCTAGGCTTTGGTGACTTTTCTTTATGGAATTACAATGGAATTCCTATTGTCAAATCACTCTGGTGATTACACTTATTTTATATGCTATGAGTCCTTGAAATGTCTGTTGAATATCATATATACATGTTGAAAACACTGATATACACATGTATTTTAAAACTTAAATAATGGGTCAATAAAATACTGTATTTTTTCCTGGAGTTTAGAACAAAATATTTTGGTTACCAAATTAAATTCAGAGCTAATATGGGTATGTAATACATACTCACTAAACCACACATGTGAAATTTTCAACTCAACAATGAATGGGCCCCAAATGAAAGTTACTGACCTAGATACCCTTAGGTTCTGCCACACATTTTGTTCATTCCATTTCCCCATTCTAATAAGTATTTTGGAGCTCAGGATTGTCTGTAAGCCCAAGAAACAGGTATGTGAACTATTAATATTTTTCACCACAAAAAAGATAATTATTTTGACAGTACCTGTTAGTCAATAAGTGAATGGTGTGATTCAATGCTTTGTTCTGAATATAGTCTGGCTCACTGTGCACCACTGAATGAAAGGCCACAAGGTCCTGCATTTCCTATCAGATGTGCAAGGCAAGGAACACATGAAACAAACTAAAATAAGAAGTGCAGTATTTTGTTGACTAAACATTTTTTCTCTTTAATGTTAACCTATTGCAGTGTAGTTGCTAGAAACATGCTTTTACTACTAATTCAAAGCACCCTGAGCACTCCTGATTCCCTTAAACTAAAATTTTCAGATTTCTAGATGCAGGATGGCCTCTGGCAAGAACATTTTACCTTTCAATGATGTATTTACCTTATATGATCCAACGAAGATGATTGCAGAATTCACTAGCTATAGGTATTAATTGATATAATCCATAGTCACAAAATTTTCATGTATCAGTAACAATACAACAGTAATTTGTATGTGTTTTTATTCATTTCCTATTCAAAAAGGTATTTAGAACCTCTAACCATTGTAAGTCTCCAGTGAGGAGAAAAACAGGTTGCGTGTCCATGGTTGACAAAGGATTCAACTGCATAATAAAAACCACTATGGTTTTATTGATTTTATCTTGAGAATTAAAATGGCTACTTGATTAGGAGGGTGTGATAAAAAAAAAAGGAAAAACATTGGCAAGGCTGTTAGAGAGGTAGTAAGCCTGAATATTTGGAAGAGTAAGTTAGAATAACGGTCTACTTTCTAAGAGTTTCTGATTTGGGGTGAAAACTTCCCTGAATATTCTTTATCCTCTTGCCTTTGAAGGCTTTAATTAATAATATCAACAGGAGGAGCTGGGACCGGTTTGGCTCAGTGGATAGAGCGTCGGCCTGCGGACTGAAAGGTCCCGGGTTCGATTCCGGGCAAGGGCATGTACCTTGGCTGCGGGCACATCCCCAGTGGGGGGTGTGCAAGAGGCAGCTGATCGATGATTCTCCCTCATCGACGTTTCTAGCTCTCTATCCCTCTCTCTGCCTCTCTGTGGGAAATCAATAAAATATATTTAAAAAAATAATAATATCAACAGGAGGAGTTTGGGGTGCAAAATTCCATATGCATTAGCTAAAACGAATTCAACCAACTGAAAAGATAATTTTGCATCCACTGTTACACAGAAAAATCAGAAATGATCACTGGGAGGAAGAAAATTCTTAGAATGAACATTTAACATCTAACTAAGTGAAAAATATTCATTTCTGGCCCAAAGAAACCTCAGCTGGAAAACCATTGCTAGTAGCTCTGATCCAGTGCCGATTATTTCAGTTTATCCTTTAACCTGGACATTTAAAATAGGTGGAGACAAAACTAGAAAAAAATCTTAAAAACCAGTTGTTCCTATTTTACTGCCAAGATCCATGAACTTTAAATTTAAAAACTTCACACCTCATCAAGTACAATAGAATCTGACATTCAGGCTTGATTCTTGGATGAATTTCCAGGATTTCCTAAATCATTAATCTTGTTTGGTAAGCAACTTGCCCAATTTCTCCAGCTAATGGGGGAGGAAAATCCCTAACATTTACTATAAGTGGCAGGAAGCTTTCACATTGAAACATGGTGTAGCAACTCTTCCAATTAAGTTGAATTTCCTCAGCAGAAGCCTTCCCATTAAGACATAAATTTCATTTTAAGGCACTAATAATAAAGGGTATGAAAACAGCTAGGGATGAGTCAGATGTTTCCAGAAAGAGAAAACATTTCAAAAACAAATCAGTCATCTATCTGGTTTACTTCAACATCTAAAGAGGAGTGAGAACCAAGGTTTTCATGGCTAACAGATTCAGCTCTTTTCCATTCTCCAATACAAAACTTACTTACAAGTCTTAAATTTACGTCCCTTAAGAGACATTAGAGAAAAATGGCAAGGGTTTGGAACAAACAAACAAGCAAGCAAGCAAATCTAGTTTGTAGACTAGTCTCATGATTACTTAATTCCATAATGACAGCATGGAGTGCTCAGAACTAAGGTTTTTGAAGTACTTTTTAAGATCATATACCCAGTGATTGAAACGGTAACAAGGTGCTCTTTTCTATTGTTCTGAGGGGGAAATGTAGAAAAATAATTTTTCATGACCAGGTCAATGGAATTTGGAGAGAAAGAACCCTACTCGGAAACCTGTTTCAGCAGGATTTTCTTACCCCTTCCAATGAAATAAATTTCACCATGAGAAAAGAACTAAATAAAATGATCAGTTAGTGTAGGAGACAAATGCTAATAAATGATTGTGGAGGTAGGCATTGTGGGGCAAGATTATCTTAAAGAAGAAATGCTTCCTATGCTCATGTACACACATGCATACAAACATGCACGTACACTCACAGATTTACAGAGGTGAGGATGTAGGAAAGGCTCAACACCAGGAGACATGAGCTCAGATATCTCATCTGTTTGCATTTCTACATAGGAACAGATCTGACACACGTTAATACCCACAGACACGCATGTGCGAGGGTCAGCCTCAGAAACAGATGCAGAGAATCCTAGAGGTGCTGGTTTTACAGGAATGATTATATCTGCAGGCTTACACTTCCGCTTATGTGCAGGGTTTTTATCTTGCATTTCTTCCCAGAAATATCCCTCTTTCAAGGTATTATGTCCTGGACGGACTAATCTCAATTCCTCAATAGATTTGACTCAGAACAGGACTGCAGGAATTAAAACTAGCAATAACATGGCCCCTTTGGGGTTGGAGTAAAGTATTTCTGGGTTTAAACAGATTCTGAGGCCCTAGCCAGTTGGGCTCAGTGGATAGAGCTTCGGCCTGCAGACTGAGGGATCCCAGGTTTGATTCCAGTCAAGGGATATGCCTGGGTTGCTGGCTCGATCCTCAGTAAGGGGTGTGCAAGAGGCAGCAGTCAATGATTCTCTCTCATCTATCTCTCTCCCCTGCTCTCTGAAATCAATAAAAATATATTTTTAAAGAAACACACACACACAAAAAATCCCAGTTTGTGGGTGTGTGTGTTGGGAGAGAGGGGCGGGGCTAGAAAGTGGGGTGAGGGGAGAAGCCAAATTCTGGGTAGAGCTGGAGATAGAAAAACTTGAAAGTCCAGAAATCAGTATAAACAAAAGACAGGTGCATACAAAGGGGTTTTGACTAAGTATCACTGCAACTGAGTTTGTTGACTGACATCCTCCTCTGAGCCAGAGAACTGAAAAATAATAACTGATATATTTCTTGTTAGGAAGGCTCAGCTGGGAGTGATATGGTGAGTTACTGAGGGTGGGGTAGACACAGAGGCCTAAGGCTCAAGTATTGCTCCTAAGGTTTCTGCTTGCCTGATTTTGAAGGAAAGGGTGCTAAAGCGAAAGGATCAGCAGCTGGCAGCTCCGTAGTCCTGGAAGGAAGGGATGTGATGGAAACAGAGCCCGCTATGGACTGCCTGTTGGTCTGCGAGACAATTTTGTAGGCAGCAATGGGCTGGGCTTCAGGACTTGGCTCATCTTCTGGGCTATAGTGACGGGAATACTTGGATAAAGACTGGGGGCGGAATGATTTGCCAGCTATGGGCCCCGAGGCAGCTTCTTTCTGAGGCTGAAGTCCTTTGTTTCTGTCGTTCAGATGGCCCCCCGATTCCAGGGAGGCTCCCCTGGGGGAGATGCTGTCAGGATGGTCTGCTGCTTGTACAGAATGGGAGGGGAGATTGGACTGTTGGGCAAAACCAGCCATGGGATACTGAGATCGGACCGAGGAGTACACCGCTCTGTCGAGGCCTGAGAGCTGAGCGGCCTCGTCTGTCTGACCGAGAAGACCAGCCTGTGTGGGCAACTCCTGGGAGGCGCTCTGGGCAGCTGTTATCTCCTCCACACTTTTCTTCTTGGTAAAAGGAGCCCTTAGGAACACATCCGCCTCCTCTGGCTGGGAAGGAGCCACACTGCCCTTGGAGACAAAAGGGGCTTTGGAGAAAATGTCCATTTCGTCCGTGGGAACCCTTGAGCTCCTAAAGGGGGCTGTGGCAAAAACATCTGGCTCACCAACCCCATCAGCGGTTGGCTGTGTGGGGGCTTGAAACTGGTTCTTTTTTCCACCTGGCACTGCCTTTGCTTGCTCCGTGGAGACCTCTGGCTGAGCGAATGGAGCGGTTCCTGCCAGCTTCCCTTGCAGAGGCTTGCAGCTCTCGTCCTCGTCTTCAGACTCCATGAGGAGAGGCCGAGACCCGCTGCAGTCTAGCATGTCCCCCTCGAGGTCAGTCCCTTCCTCCTCGCTGCTGTGGAATGAGCTGTTGCTTGAAGGGCCATCTCTGGCCAAGTAGTCAGACTCTAAGCTGTTCTGTGTTTTTGTGTCGGGTACCCTGGAGGGGTCTGGATACAGGGGCAGGCCTTTTACGCCCGTTGATTCTTTAAAGTGCTCTACGGTTATTACAGGACAGGGATTGGGCTCCCTCTGGAGACCTAGAAAAGCACAAAATGCAGAATTAATGCACAACTGGTTCAACGCTCCTTGGAACATCCAATGGTCAACCCACGGCAGTAACATTATGGGACCAAATAATAGATGTTGAACATGGAAAAGGGAAAACAGAAAAATAAAAGTCAGGCAAGGAAACGGCACACAAACTGGAACACAACCAATCACGGTCTCACGTTTTGGGACATGATAAGCACAATGTACAGGAGAGGAAATGAAGACGTTAGGCACACAGACATTCAGTGCAGCTATGCGATGCTCCTACTCACGGGGCTAGGCACTGACACCTGCTCTAGCTGGCACGGGCACATGATGGAATGAAAACAAACCCAGCCACTCATCTTCACGTACACCATGGTGGTTCTGGAGTATGCAGAAATACTGTCTGGGGACAAATTCAATTCAGTATCGGACATGTGGTCATGCTCTGCCGGTAGCTGAGGACACCCATCCTCTGCCCCCAAACAGCAACAAAACACAGCAAGTTTACTTGCTGATTGACATAAAAGTACCTCAAACAGGAATACTGAAGGCACTTTCTCAGCGGAGGAGACATAGCAAAATCATATTAAATTTCAACGTGAGCTGGAGTAGTCCTGGAATTTTGTTTTCTGTCTTCGAAGTTAGCAAAAATCTCTGTTTAAATGAGTCCATCTTACATTTCTTTAAACAGAGCAAAATGTATGGGAAATTACAGAAGTATTTGCAAATTCTAATATACTAGTCCATTTCTATCTAGTTGAAGTGCCTCAGGGTGCTCTAGCTTTTAACATCAAATAGACAATTATCAGAATGCAAGAGAGCTTACCTTCCAAGAAATATTAGCAGGTTAGAAGTATGTCATTGGGCACATGTTAGCAAGAGGGCAGGAAAAAGGCATATGTAACTAAGCAAGAAGAATCCAGAGAAAGGGTGGTTGGGGGTAAAGGTATCATTTCATCACGGGTTTCCCAACCCACCAGGATAAGAACATTTGGTAAAAAGATTCGGATTCTATAGATGACTTGGAACCTCTGTACTGAGGTAATTCAACCCTCCCAATCCCACGTAGTCCTCTCCCCTTCTACGCAAACCATTTGCTCATAGAAACTTCTGCAAACAATATTCCCCTTTAAGTTTGCTTAAAGTAAGCACACAGAACACAGCTGAAGCAGCATCAAAATCAGTTTATTGGGAAACCAATTACTTGGAGACATTACATTGTAAAGTGATGCAGAGAGAGACCCGAACATTTGAGAAGATATTGTACAAAAATACTATACTCTTCTGAATCCTATAACTTTTGAGCAGACGTTCTTTTTAAATGATTCTGACCTTAAATATTGTTTCCAGAAACAAAGGGTGTCCCCCCGCTTTTTTTTTATTTCCCTTCCTAACAGCTGAAATACATTTGATGAATCCCACATTAGAGTCTTGAAGTTAACTTCTGGACTGGTGCAGATGGCTTTCTGAATAGCATTTGAAGAATAAGTTTATTTTGAAGAGGTTAAATTTTTCCTTAGGTTACGGTTTTACTATATGCATTTGCATAATATGAAAGCATTAGGGGATAGGAAATAAACAGAACACCTTCTCCCTTACAATCTATGTGAAAAGACATAATCCTAACCTCTCAGGCAAGTTTACTGATATTAGATTTGTCACAGTGATTCCCAGATGATGATTTCTGGGAGGAAATTACAATGAAAGGGGGAAGAGAAGTTTTCCAGAATAAGATTTGCCGAGCAAAGTGGTATGAGAGGTCCCCCCGCCCCCAACTCTTTGAACCACTTTCTAACAGTATCAGATGCGCAAAGTTTCCAGTTGTCAAAACTAAGGCACAAATTCTTAACTTTCCAAACTACCCTGAAAGTTGATATTAAGCTAGTCCTGTGGGAGAACAAAATAGCATTTAGGAAAAAAACATGGCAGGTTTACTCAAGCCAATTACTGATTCTGGCATTACATAGATCAATAATGAAAATGAGCACTAGTTTGACTAAAGTTAATGTTTTGGGGGAATTTATATCAAATTCAGTGGAATATATTTGTGTGCAGAGTTTGTCCCAGAGCAGTGACCTACAGAGCGCGGGTCACCTGGATGCCTGCAGTGCTCCATTACATTGGTGAACTCTAAGTGCCAATCAGGGGTGGCCATATCCAGAGTTGAACAGGATGGAAGAACATGCCAGATTCATCAAAATTACTTCAGTTAAAAAGCGGGTTCTTAGTCAAGTCAAATGGAAGCCTGCTAACTTAGAGCATATTCTATCCGTCACGGTGAGCAATAGGAAAATTGTACTTAAAGTTCAGCAGCTTTTAAAATTCACACACATAGCCACAAAAATACTTTAACATAGAGCTCAAAGGGAAAATGGGTCTCCTGTCCTTCAAAGCAAGGCCAGACTACCTCTTATCTCTTTGATGAATCTGCTTACAGGATTAGAAGATATTGTAAATGTTTCTCCTGAGAAGGCCGAGTCTCTCAAGCTGTCCTTTTTAGGAGAGGGGCAGTGTGACCAAGGCAGAAAGCAAACACCCTCTGCAATTCTCCGAGCTGGCACTTTGCAGACCAAAGAAATGCTGGTGGATATGGAAAAGCGCAGACAACCACATTCCCTCAGGGAATTTTGATGGTGACGGGACAAGAAATGGAGTAGACAAGAGGAGAGATTCTAGATAACTGTAAACAGAAGGTAGACATTGAGTTTTTTGGGGAGTTAGATGTCTTTTTTGGAACATGAGTGTGCTCTTGTAGGGAAAACACATGTTTTCAAGGTGAACAGTCTGTGTATGAAGATAGCTTTCCACCGTCAGGAAACATGTGCAAAGTGGTTTGCCTAGAAGCAATGAAGGGTTTATACTAATTTCTTGGGTAATTAATGGCAGGCATAGCAGATGTTCTTGACCACAACCACAGAGCTCAATGAAGATAGTAACAACTGGTGGGAGAGAGGGGCAGGGGGATGGAGTTAAGGCTGGGACCTGACCACATAATCTGCACAGGGTCTTCCTTATCAAGAAGCCTAAGGTAGGGCATTTTGTTCTAAGTCTTCCAAATTGGGTCATGTCTCTTTTTATTTTGGTTGAGTACATTAAATTAAGCAACAAGTCTTTTGCTTGCTCTGATGTAGGATTGTATGCCAGGTTAAGGTTAAGCGCACTTTTCAAAACTCCATTTTAGTCAATTTTGAGGCTCCAAAATTATATAGATTTCAATAAGAGCTCACATGCTTCAGAGAGTAGGAAAGGAGTCCCAAAAAATATCTGATGGCTTGGCAACTATCCTCACTAACACTCTATTAACTTCCAAAGCAATGAAAAGTGTTGAATGATTTGGGAAAGGTTTTTTCTGCAAATTGTATCAGGTGGACTAGTGAAGGTCATCAGCATGCTTTCTAGAAAATCAAAATGTGAAGACTTAAATTTCTGGCTGGTTATTCCTTAATACGTCATGAACCAGAATTTTACTTTCCTCTATAATAATTTCAATGACCTTTTGGCTTAGATTATCAAATTAAGCATTTGGTTTTACCATATGCTGTGTAGTTGCATTAAAACCCACGACTGGGAAATAAGGGTTTTGCTGGGAGCCAATATTGGCTAGTGATGCTGTGCCTCTCAAGCCAATGGAGCAATTAAACGAGAGAGATTTCTCCGTGGGCATAAAACTGCTATTGCCAACATAACATGTTTAATTAAATTGGCCTGGGCATATTAAAGATGAAATTAGAGGAGGAGA